CCCAAAACACAACCCCGCCCCTTACCCGACGTCGGGCCCGAATCCCCCAGCACCTACACCCCTCACCAAGTGGCACCAACGCACCAGGCCCCCTATCCCCCCCAACATTCCCACATACCCCTCAATGTCGTCATTAAACCCAAGTAACACGTCTTCCCACATTCCCACATACCCCTCAGTAAACCCATGTCACCCCTCCCCCCACATTCCCGCATACCCCCCAGTAAAAGCAACTTACCCTCGTCCCCACGAAATTCACAAATTCTCATCAAATACACAAAATTGCAATCATGAGAACACAACTTTGAGTTCAAGATAGTAGAACGGACCGAAATACACGAACACAAATGCTACAGTAAGAAAAAAAGTGAACAATAGAACTACCAAGTAACCAAAGTAATGAACATCGTTGTCGAAGCACGGAGTCGCACAATACCGTCAATATGAAGAAAAAATAAAAAAACTAAGAAAGAGGAAATATTATAAAAGAAGAATAATTGAAAAATAAAATAAAAAAACAAGAAGAAGAATGAAACCTATAAGACACTAAATGAAGATAGGCATACACAAACATCATTGGCGCGACAACAAAGTCCCAGTCTACGGCTCATCGCACTGGCGTCGTCTGTGTCGTCGTCGTTGATGATCAGCTCTCACCGCCTGTGCGGCACCGTCGTCGCCGTCTCCTCTCCCTTCCCTGAATGCTGTGACGCAGACTCGGCGTGACTGCCAACTGCTCTGGCTGCCATCCTCTCTGCCTCCTGGACCTCTGTCTCTCTCTTCGCACCCCGTGCAGCAAAAACGTCCCAAAATGCCAGTCAGGGTGGTGTACGTCTTCCTAGCCTTAGGCATGGGCACCCCATCCGTCGCAGAATCCTCACTGCGGCCCCCAGCAGCTCGACGGTTGCCCGGTCCTATCGCGGACTGACGTCGCTGGCTCCTCCCCAAGTATCCAATGTGCAGTCGACAGACAAGCTCTATGGTTGCTCTGCAATGTAGCAGGATCAGGGGCATCCTCCAACAATGGGGGGGGAAGTCAGGCAGCCGGCCAAGCACGTGTGAACGATCGCCCTTTGGGACGTCGATGACCATCGCGATGTGCTGCACCTCTTGCAGGCGGTCGTGACGGCGGTGCAACCATCGTGTTGCCCTGTACTTCAGCAATGCACGACGACCCGGCACCAGGATGCTCCAACCTATCTCCCTTTCGTACCCAGCCTGTTGCGTCTGCAAACATCTCCGACAACCTCCCCTCACGATCCCTCCTCTCACCCGTAACCCCAGGCATAGAATCCTTGAGTTTGCGGGTGACTCTGTTGATGTCGCTCCATGATACGGACTTCCCCTTCGCGTTCGGCCTGGTCCAAGGTCACATCAATTGTAACCTCTACCACGTCCCTCGTCCTCTGATCCATCCGCTGCTCCACCCTCTCATCAACCCTACGCTCCACCCTCTGCTCCGCTCTTTGCTCAACCCTCGGCTCTACCCTCAGCTCTACCCTACACTTCGACCTGTCATCTGTTGTACTGTGCACTGTACGATCCGCTGTCTGCTCCACCCGCTGCTCAAGTCCCGGTCGATGTCGCCGCTTGAGGGGCTCGTGCTGTAAGGTCGATGGTACTCAGGGGTCCACCCTCTCCTGCACGCGCTGCTCACACGACTGCACCACTGTACGTGGACATGTGGCGGCATGCGGACAGAGTGAGCCAAGCAGCCAAACTGACTGAGAGATGATCTGAGAGGCGTTCTCTGCCTCCGCAAACTGATGCGCCACCTGCTCCACAGCGACCTGCTGTGGCAACTGCTCCACCCTATGTTCGTCCCTCTCATGTCGCGGAACCTTAGGACGCTGAGGCACCCTCCTCTCCCTCTCCGCCTGCGTGTGTGTACCAACCCCGTGCTCCATGGGGGGTTGGGACGTATGTGTCGTTGTGGCGACAGAAGAGGGGTCGACAACACTAGTACCTGCTGCTGTGGGACTCATCTAAACTGGAACCTCATGCGTCCGTTCCGGTCCTGCATCGCCTCGTCCTCCTCTATCTGAATATCACGGGCTAGCAACTCCTTCATATCAACCTCGCCGCCAACCCTCTTGCGCATGGACACCACGGTATGCATGGTGCCACCAACGTAGGCATCGAAGTTGTCGTGCGGATCGTGTCCACCCCAATCGTCCAGCAAGTCGTGTTGGTCCTCTGGAAGAATCATCCCAACATCCCTTTGTGCCTATGCCTCGTTCCTGATCCCCTGGTGCATTCACACGAGGTCATCAAAAATGTCGTCCTCCTCGTCCTCCGAGTCCATTGCCGGTGCCTTGCCCTTACCAGCTCGATTGCGACCCTCCTTCCTCCTGTTACTCCTCTCAATCGCCTCGGCCTCCTCCTCCAACACATCTGCAGGGATGGCATCGTCCTCATCCAAAGCGACCTCCTCCTCCTCAAGCTGGTCCTCCCAGATGTCCACGTACCTGTCGTCTGTCCGCTTGCTCACACTGAACTGCAAGTTCCAATGGATAAACACGATATTCTCAACGCTACGTGCAGACAGGCGGTTCCTTAATTTCGTGTGAACGAAATCGTTAGTGACCCTGTTCCTCTCACAAGGACTGGTCGTGGACCACGTGCCCACCACTGCCCGCTCAATGCTCTGCAAAATGGGCTGCTGGCCACCGTTAAGCCCCCACCACGTCAAGGGATGCATCTTCTTCGCGTCGGTGGCAGCAAACGGGTCCCACCAGTGTTGAGCAGCCTTTGGCCTATATCACGGGTCGTCACTTTGGAAAGTCCACAGGGCCTCCCACAGATCCTGCATGGCCTTCGTGTTCCACCCTCCGACAACGCGAGCAAAGTGCTCTAGCGCCGACTGCACAACAGGCCTGTTGCGGTCCTTAAGCAATGAAATGTCGCGCCACCGCGGATCCAACAGGTAAGCAGCTGCATGAGCAGGCTGCTGCATCATCGCGCACCGATCCCTCACGATGGTCATCACCGCGTCCCTGTCAAAGTCTGACAGCTCTAGTGAACGAAGTCTCTGCCGGAGGATGACCTCGAAATCCCATAGGGCCACAGGCCAGTGGGTGATGAGCCATCCCTGTCAAGATCCCTGAGGAACGCGTAAACGGGACCCATGAGGTCCATCACCATCACGCCACTCCAAAAGTCGTCATCCCTGCAGAGCCTGCGGACATGCGGCATCCGCTCTCGAGCATCCCCGGCCCATCGCACCCTAGCCCACCTCTCTGACGACACCAATGTGTCCAAGACCTCCCTCTGGTCATACAGCCTCTCCAGCATCATGTATGGTGTACCGAAACGCATCTCGGCTGGTCGCCTGAGCACCAGCGCCTTCTTCATTACTTTGTGAAGTGCAAGCGCTTTTTGTTTGTTGCGCATGAACTTCACAATCTTGTGCTCATCTTTCATCGTCTGTCGCGCGAAAGGCTGTGCGACAATGTCCCTCAGCTGCAAACTCAGGCAGTGTGCTGCGCACGGTGTCGGGCAGCCCAAGCTTTACGCCGCCCTTTACTTCCTTGACAAAGACATCTATTGGTGGCCGGAGCTGAAGTAAGCAACCAATTCGGACACTTCCCTTCTCGAGATCGACGAAGGCGAGACTCAAGGGGGAGGGATCAGGGTCGAGGGGTTGGGAGAGCATGATCCCATGATGAAGGGAGACTCTCTTCAACGGGCACCGAGAATTTTCATAGCCAAGGAAAATCTAATAACTATGGCGGGAGAGAGGAGTCTGCAGGCGTTAGGCGAGTGACGACGGCGGTGGACGGGTAACTCACTTTGGAGCTTTGGCGACGTGTGGGACGAAAAGGGCTATTCTGTTCTCACAGTAAGCGTCCGGGTAAACGACAGAGCGACGGCCGTGAAGAATCAATGGCCGGCCAAAAGTCGAGGAAATGGCTAAACCGGCGTTAATTGGACCGCGACGCTAGAAACTTGAAATGGGCGGTCGAAAAAAGATTTCGGGCCTCAAAGAAGGGAAGACCCATTTTTCTCAAGTACCGGGTCCCCTCCAAATTTCGACGGGCCTCGCTAATTTCTGCTTGGGAGGGGAAGCCAAAGCAGGTTCGGAATGAGGCTCAGCTTAGCTCCCGTACCGGGGCGCTGCAAATTCATTGGTACCGACACAAAGGCCCGCTTGATACCACATATGCCCTTTCGGAGCCCAAAAAGGGTCGGACATAGGCTCGGGGAAGCCCCGGTACCGGGGCGCTGTGACTTCCTCGACAGCGGCCGACACCTCGGGAGGCCAAAGAGCCAGGTTCCACGTGATACTGGGGCTGACAAAGTTCAAAAGCCCAACTGGGCTCGAGAGGGGGGGATTCTAACGGACGCACGGAGGGGTACACGGGCTGGCACACGAAGTGTGCTGGCTCAGAAACGCACGAGAGGACACGAGCGGAGGGGGGCTTTTTCGAATTCACGCACGAGACAGGCGCACGGTGGGGACAGGCGCATGGGCTGGCTCGCAGAGGGCTAGCAACCGAAGGCCATGCATACGGAAGGGGGACATTGCCCGACGAGGGAGCATCAATCAAGAGTGCAGGTGCTATCAAGAACCTGGTAAGTTGCTAACGCATTCCATCGGACGGGTACTGGACCTCGATCGACGTACGACGCACGGGGGTTGCAACTCAACAGCGGACTTGATCATGCACGGATCGATCACGGAGGAGGAGGAAGAATGAACGGACTCACGGTAGCCTGCTGTAGGTAGTCGCAGTCAAGCTCGAAGCTTGATACGCCCGCGGCGATCTTGCTACGTGCAGAGGGGCCGTTTACCAAGGATGGAGATCATGAGCACTATCCAAACAAGTTCCACGTTAACACTGCATGTTGAGCAATAGTGGCAGGAGGGGCAAAGCCAGCGGGGAAGGGAGAGATCGGACATGGGGAAGGGGCACTGCTAGTTTTCTGTTGCGATTGGCTATGTGCGCGGGGAAACTTGACTTGCAGGAAGCCTTGAATGTTCCGGACCACGAAAGAGGTCAGGTTCATCTGCAAGTGTCGGTTGCGCATGGGTGTGTGTGTGAGAGAGAGAGGGAGAATGAGAAGTCGCGTGAAGGAAACGAGCAGCGCGCGAGGATTGGGAAGCCACTTGTGAGTTGAAAGGGCGCTGATCTGCCCACGAACGAGACCGAGAGGAGGAGAAGCGCTGGCGGATGCGGGCCGTGCTAGTGCGGGCAGGGGAAAATGCCGGAAGGATGCGCGAGCGAGAGTAGAAGTAGCGCGCGGGAAGCGACGGAAGTGCACGTGAGGCGGACGAGTGCGAGCGTGGAGAGCTGCTGCGCCCGGGACACGAGCTGCGCGGGAAGATCCGCGCGAGGGAAAAGTTGTTGAGCCCGGATACGAGCCGCGCGGGAAGAAGCCGTGCGGGGGGGGGTGAGCCAGTGGGCGCAAGCTTATGTGGCCTAGGCGGAGCAAGCAAGTCGATGGGATCGAGGTAGTGAGAGATAGGAGAGACTTGCCTGGTGCCCGAGGCGAATGGCATTGACCAAGATTTGCTCGTGCTTCGCGAAGCAGTTGGTGTCACCGAGGTTGGGAGTGATACGAGAGACTTACCTCTTGCTTAAAGAGAACGACATTGACCAAGATCTGCTCGTGCTTCAGGACCTTGTTGACGTCACCAGCGGCGCTGAGGATAGTAGGCTAGATAGAAGTTGTCACCTGTAGTCTGAGCGCCGACCGCCAGACATGATTTCTACATTGGTTCTTTGTTGATGATAATGAGACTATGCTAGCATTGTCACTCACGAAATTATGTTGAGCTCTTACAAATCAGATCATATCAGAGCATCCCAGATCAGAACACAACAGAAAAATTCCCACGAGAAATGAAAGTTGAAAAAACATTCCATAAAAAAAAAATCCTTCATATTTATAAATTATCATTCCAATGTTTGTCCAATTCTACAATTTTCAGTTTTATTTGATAAGTTCCTGTCTAAATATGAGTTTTCCCTTCCAACTACATCTATTTATTCAAGATAGAATGAAAGTCTGGACGAGTTTATGGAATGTTTTAATTAAACTTTCATTCTACTACAACAAATATCTTCTAATTTAAATTGGATTAACCTATTTATGACTGAAAATCCTTACTTAGAATGACAGTCCAATTAAAATATTTCATGAACTCATCCAGACTTTCATTCCATCTCTAGCATGCAGTTCAAATAAGAAGGGATACCCCATTCTTAAAAGGAAAGTTCTCAAGTAACATGAAAAATTTTAAAAGTAGAATGACATTTTTTAAGATGGAATAAAAATTTGAAATTTAGAATGTAATTTTACTATAGAATGAATATTTAATTCTGGAAATTTTTTCTGTTGCTGACTTGGACTGGACAGGTCCAGACCAGGACAGATCCAAACCAGACCAGGTCCGAACCAAACCCAGACCGGACCAGATGAGGCCAAACCTAGACCAGCCTAGACCTGACCGGGCACAAACAGTTCTGGACCAGATCAGACCTGAACAGATCAGACTATACCCTGACCGGATCAGACCAGACTACATCAGACCAAACTGGGCAGACTCAGACCAGATCAGGCGGGACCGTACCCAGACCGGATCAGACCAGACCGAACCAGATCAGACCAGACCCGGATCAGACGAGATCAGACTAGATCAGGCGGACTCGGACTAGATCAGACAAGACCGTACCCAAACCGGATCAGACCAGATCCGACAGGACCGTACCCAGACTGGACCAGACTCAGACCGGGCAGAGACCACCCGAGATCAGATCAAATCGGATAGAGACCAGACCAGAACAAACCTCATCAGACCAAACCAGTCCAGGGCAGATTAGACTAGACTAGACTAAGGACACGACCGGATGCGCACTCGAGTAAACCAAGACGTCGTCTTTTCCAATAGCCGAATGGATTTTAGATCTCAGACAAGGGCCCGGAACTAGCCCTTCCACGGGTATTATTTTGGATCAAATAAAAACAATTTTTTTATTTCTCGCAGACGGTGTGATAGGAGGGACTCGTGGTTGTGTCTTTAGTCGGCTCCACTCTTTATTTATGTGGATGTGACTGACGAGTTTGTGGCAGGTTACAGGAGCCCCGTCCAACCCTCCCGTGGGTGACAGACGCGGTGCGAGGTGTAGGGTTTGGACGGCGTGCCGACAAATCACTTCTCCCAGTCGACAACGGGATCCAGGGAATGTGACGCATAGCAGGATTTGGGTGTGTCTGTAACGTGTGCGCCACGGTTTTCATGAGCTCGGCGTTGTCCATACATATCGCATTGATATTCTCGATGCCAATATCATGTCGAATCACGTCCTCCCAAATCTCTGTTAAGCTAACGCCGGTCTTGCCGCGATACGACATGTCAATCGTCCGGATGAGGATGGTTCCGGAGTCCCCTGCTGCGATGAAGTTCATAATGGGCTTGTTTGTCGTGTCAGTAAGCCCGTCCATCATCAGCGTGCAACCGGAAGTAGCCCACTTTGCCTTCTTAGGGGCGATGAGGGCAGCGACCTCATGGAAGATAATATCCATCATCCTCGTTCGGACCCCCTCATACAGGTGAAGTCGTGGAACTGGTACTATCGTGGGACGGAATAGAGTGCATATGTAATCCCACAACTGCTGCGTCTCGGCCAAATGCAGCCAGTTGAACGCCACTCCGCCACAATAGATAGCGAGGGGCCACAACCGATCAAGATCCATCTGGATCTTGTTCCCTATATAGGGATTCAGAGTTGACCTTCGCCTACCCACTACGGATGTGGACGCGGGTGCTGCACTAACACTACAGTCGCCTGCCTCAATACCGCCACTCACACCTCCTACACTTCCTGGTACACGGGTTGGCGCATGCTGAAAACCCGCAGGCTGAGTGTCGCCTCGTGACCTGCCACCACGCTGACGATTTGCATCCAAATCGTCGTCCAGGCTGATCGTCCCCTCACTTGTATCGCCACCATCCGGCGTCTGCCCCTCCAGTAAGTGATGCATCCGCCCCTCCAACACGCGAGGGTGTCCCGGGCCTCGTATGCTCCTGCTCTCCGCCCCCCTCCGCCTCCATGTAATGACGGAGGTCGTTCGTAGCCATAACACCCTCCACCCTCTCCGCGTACTCCGAAGCCAGGCGCCGCAAGATGACATCTCTAAGGACTACCCCCGCCCTTTGCAAGTCGTACAAAATCTCACCAGTCAAGCGTGGGCAGTACGTCTTCTGCTTGGTGAAATGCTCAACTCCACGAGACTTGGATCCAGTGAAAACCTCCCGACACAGGAGGCAACGGATAAGGAAGTTGCCCACGCCTACCTTCCCCCACTCTTGGCCCCTCTCGACCCACTCCCACACCACAAGACCGCGCCTCAATTCATCCTGCTTGTGCTGAAGTACAGACACAAATGGTGGTAGCGGGTCCCCTCTACGCCGTGTACTGGCGCATGCCATAGCTCCAAAAAGGTGACGGTGGTGCAGTGAAAGCATAACTACTGTCTGCAGCTATGCCCTACTGCCGACGCACGCCTATTCAGCCTGTACTCTGCAGAACATCGACTTGTCCACGTCTGCTGCATGGAAAGAAAAGAAGAAAGAGAGAACAATTAGAAATGGCATCCTGTACGGATGAAATGTTTGTTAATTGATTGATTGATTGATTGTTCGATTGATTGATTGATTGTTTGATTGATCTTCTCCTCCTTCATGTCCTTCATCTCCTTCTCCATCTCCTCCAACTCCATCTCCTCCTCCATCTCCTACTCCATCTCCCCCTCTATCTCCTCCTCGTACTCCATCTCCTCCAGCATCTCGTACTCCATCTCCTTCTCCATCTCCTACTCCATCTCCTCCTCCATGTCATCTTCAATCTCCATGCACTCCATCTCCGCAATCTCCTCCTCCATCTCCTACTCCATATCCTCCTACTCCATCTCCTCCTCCATTTCCTACTTCATCTCCTCCTACTCCATCTCCTCCTCCATCTCCTCTTCCATCTCCTCGTACATCTGCTACTCCATCCCGTACTCCATCTCCTCCTACTCCATCTCCTCCTCCATCTCCTCCTCCATCTCCTACTCCATCTCCTCCTCCTCCTCCTCCTCCTCCATTTCCTACTCCATCTCCTCCTCCTCCATCTCCTCCTCCATCTCCTACTCCATCTCCTACTCCTCCTCCTCCTCCTCCATTTCCTACTCCATCTCCTCCTACTCCATCTCCTCCTACTTCATCTCCTCGTCCATCTCGTTCTCCATCTCGTCCTCCTTCTCCTACTCCATCTCCTACTCCATCTCCTACTCCATCTCCTACTCCATATCCTCCTACTTCATCTCGTCCTCCATCTCGTCCTCCATCTCCTACTCCATCTCCTACTCCATAT